GTACTGGCTTTTTCTATTCCATTGGACTAAGCACTTGTTTTGGTTTGATTTATGATATCTACCGCTTCTTTTTTTGTCAAGCCACTCAATTTCGAACGTGAAAGGTTTGAGGCCAAGCCTTTTCTTCTCTAACATAATCCTAAATCCATAGGCAAAAATAAATAAGCACATGCTTCTCTCTTTCTAGTAGCCATCAAGAATGGATTAGATAAGTGGTCGAACCGGTGCCTTGGTTGGTATGACATAGGTTAAAAAATGGTTTTGGTAAAAAGGGTCAAAACCAGCAATTGACGAGTTTAGTTTCAGCCGATTCGATTGGTCGATTTCAACTTTTTGGACAGCCAAAAAAAAGTACGTAGTACATATTTTTAAACTATTATTCTTTTCTTTTTTTTTTTCATATTTTCAATATTTAGTCAAACAGGTTTGATTGACATTAGTTTGGTTGCCAGTACTATATTTTAAACTATTATTCTTTTTTTTTTTTTCATATTTTCAATATTCAGTCAAACAGGTTTGATTGACATCAGTTTGGTTGCCGGTCCGATCTTGATAATACTACTCTAAAGCAGTGTTTAGAATCTGTTTTGCTTAAGTGAAAAAGCTATGTACCACGTCGTTTAGAATTTGTCTTGCTTAAGTGAAAAAGCTATGTACCACGTCCCAATCATCTCCCGAACTTATCTCGACGACTTGTCTGACTCATTTATTTTTTAAAAGAAAAAAAAAATAGAGAAAAAAAAAACTACATAAAGTGATAAAATCAAAACCAAATATTCTACATTGTCTAATTAGGATCTTTCAATAAAAAAAAAAGAGTTAAAATAAAAATATTTTAAGAAAATGACAGACAATAGCAAAAAAACATGGATCTTGGATAATTTTTATTTCGATTCAAAAAAATATTACCAAGGCTTTTGCAAGTCAAAATCTCATAAACATTTCGCAACAAATTTGAACAAACCTATTGGAATTTGAGTGAGAAATATCGAGGATTTTTTATTCCAGGTGAACAAATATGTTATAACTAGATCTCTCCACCTAAGGGCTCTGATCCAACAAATTATGTTAGGGAAAATATCTCTATACCCCCCATTTTTAAGTTTTATATCTCAATAGACCTAAGGTTTCAAAACATATATTGAATCATAAAAATTCTAAGTTTTATATCTTTTAACCCCTTAACCTAACTTTATCTCCTTTAAATCTATGTTTTGCCCCAAACAAATATAAGAAAGACATATCCTTTCTAAATACCGTCTTTTCTTTCTCTTTACGTGATTTTCTCCTAAATCACTCTCTATCTCTTTTTCCACTCTCTCTCCCTCGTGTCTCTCTCTCCACCATTAGAGAGACTGAGAATGAATGTTAGAGAGAGAGATATTTGAGGGAATATATCACCTAAAGAGAGGAAAAGTTTAGAATGAACATATCTTTTTTATATTTATTAGGTTAAAAAAGAAGTTAAAAGTGGGTAAAGTTAGTCTGGGGGTTAGCAGATATATTTTGAATCTTTGGGTCTATTGAGATATGAAAACAAAAAATAGGTCCAAATGATCATTTTAAAGCAACTTTCAAAAGATTTGATGGAGAATTAAAGGAAATATCGATAGAAAGGTGAAATGGGTTTGAAAAATAAGGGAAAGAAAAGGTGAATTGTTATTTCGAGATTTCTTAGATTTTGGGTTTTGATAGGAAAATTTCTTTATTGTTATTACATATCAACAAGATATAAACAAATCAGGACAAGGAGAAATAAAAATATTTCCTTTTTGGTTTCTAAAAAGTGGGGCGACTGGCCAGATTTCTATTGGGGAATTGGGCCAATCTCCCATTGGTTTCCATTTGAATCGATTACTTCTAGCAATTTTTAAAGAAAAAAGTTTTTATACAGCCGAGGCTCTAAACAATCAAATTAGAGTCCACCTCAAAAATTTTATTGGACTAGGTTATTTTGATGCTCAAATATCATCAAATTAATCATCTCGACATCAAGATGCATGAACATACGAAAAAAAATGGATTTCAAGTGTTGAAAATAGAGCATCTTGTAAAGCATTTTTGGACCGTTAATTTTCAAGATTTTCAAGTTTTCATATATCTGCTCGATCTACACTAGTTTTGAAGCTTTAAATTTTATAATTAAAGGTGAAAATATATTTTAAGACTATCACAATGATTTCTAGTATTGAAATCACATTTATTGACACTATCTAAAGGTGTGCTTTACTTTGATTGTTTAGTGCCTTGGCTCTATACAAACCGCACCCATTTTTAAAACCTTTCTCTAAAGAAAACCTTTCTATGCGGGCCCACTCTCATGTAAAATATATGTTAATCTTATTGTCAACCATATGGTCTAAATAGATGGTTAGGATAGCTTCTGTCATAGTCGTGGCTAAGATAATTTTGTTTTTAATCTATTTTCGTAAATCATGTTGCTAAAAAAATTTCGGGTGTTTGCACAACTACCTACGAGCATTAAGAAATTATATTTTTTAGAAAACAAAATGACCAAATTAACCCTACAAGTGTCATTTTTATTATTGAAATTATTGTTATTTTTTAGTTAGGAGCACCTTAGTGAGAAGGGGAACCATTCAAATTTCATGCCAAAATTATTTTGTAAAAGAAAAAAGAGAAAGGTACTAAAGTCAAATGCTCTTAGATGTCCGATAAAGATCAGACGATCAGGGATATTTTTGTTTGGTTGAAGGAACTTCTTTAAGCACACGAGCAAAGGTATTTTTATTTGATTGATGGAACTTCTTTAAACACAACTTTGTGGTGTAAGCTAGGGCAAAGGGTGCCATGGTGAGGGTGTCATGTTAGCTTCATCAGGTCTGGGTGCAGTGTTTGGTTCATGTGGCCTTTAAAGGTCTTATGAGTGCTTGTAAAATGAAATGATATAGTGTAACATGAACTCAGTGGGAGTGTGATCCCTCGTGGACCATATTAAGCAAACGATGATTTGCTAATACCGATCTGTGTTTAACGATCTAAGCCAGTCGGTTGGAAAAAATCCATGTTACTTGGGCATGAAGAATAAACCAATGACGGTTTATGGGTTAGCCCTTGATGAGGTCGGAGAATATGTCCGGATGAGTGAGCCGAGGGACTGTATAACCCTTGTATGTGATGGTGGCCTACAGAGACGGGGGCCAAAGCCTCATCCATATGTCATCACACGACATGAATATCGATAGATCGTTCTAGAAAGCCAGAAATCCAACTTTTAGGGTGAAGTGTATGCATATGCGAGAGATACCCCTATGCACTATAGGAGCTATGGTTGCATCAGGTCTAGGTGACCTTAACTCGTCTCTAGGGGAGGACCTAAAATCCACAGACTGGGATTATGATCCATTGGCTCATTGACTGGACTTTGGTGACTTGCTAATGAGCCCCTGCTTGGACTGTGGGTCATGAGAAACACTAGGTCGGTCTGATAAAACAAGTGTGGTCTGTAGTCTATAGTTGAAGGTGGAGTGCCCCATGATTATTGATTCCTAAACCATATGGATCATTTTCCCATCAAATTAATTTAATTGTATTTGTTTTATAATGAAAATTATTTTAAGATTATTATTTGAATTTTTATGAACCATTGGATATCTTATTTATAATTTTTGGATTTATAAAAATAAAGATATTGAATTTACAATTATTTAAATATTCAAATAATATTTTAAAATCCTTTAATTAATTTTAAATATATAAAAATATTATGCAGGCCCATTGTACATATGGGCCCGCCATATTTTTAGAAGGTGGGGCCCATGAGTGCCTCTCTTGGGTGGCACGCCCCACCCTTATTCTCTTTCCTTCTTTTTTTTTGTGATATGACATGTGGCCATATGGTTGGAAGATATTGACTAACTATTGACTAGATATATCTTTGAAAGATTTTGTTGAAAGATTGAGTAGACTTGTACTATTTTATGGTATGCAGAATATTTTGATTAGATTTAATTTATTTAATTTTTATTGATGAGAAAATGGTTTAGGAACGGGGGATAATCGTTCATGCACCTTCTATAATGTTGATGGCCCATCTATGGAATGGATGGCTCAGATCTCTCACCCCACAAGTCACCCTTGATCGACGGTCTATGTTCAATCTCACAAGAAGAAGCAAGCCAAAGAAAACCCTAATAAATCCTAATTTTATTCAAAAGCCTATAAAAGTGGACGGTCTCTACTAAAAAATCTCTACACCTTATCTTTCTATATCTCTCTCAAGAAAGAAACCCTAATTTTATTCAAAGCTTACAAAAAGGGATTGTCTCTACCAAAAAATCTCTACACCTTATCTTTCTATTTCTCTCTCTTAAGAAAGTTTATCTCTCTCATGTTTGATCTCTCTCTCCCACATTGTGAAAGAACCTAAGGGTTTAGGTTATGGAGTTATTCTCTCCTATCTTTCAAATATGGAGCTATACATTGTGAAAGAACCTAAGGG